GTACAATGTACATCCCATGTGCACGCATACTTAGCGGCTCTTTTTTTTTGTTCTTTTTTTTTTTTTTCAGTTTTTATATAGCGACTCTAAACGAACTTTTGTCCAAAGGTACATTGAAGAAACGAGGCCAAAACTCATTCGAGGCTCGTGACCTGTTGTTTTTATTTTTATAATAATTTTACGCCGATCTATCGACGATAAACAAATCGTGTGGGTACTAACGGGCCTAGCTCAATGGGTACATCCAATGAACTGTTGAAATAAGGACCCTGATTCGAATCCAGATGCAGATCAGATGAACAGTAAAACTCTAAATTACATAATAATAATAATATTTGAAGGCCGTCGCATTTAAAAAACAAACAAACCCCCCCCAAAAAAAAAAATCCTGTTTTACCAAGTGGTAAATGAGCTGGCGCAGAAATGGATAACGTCCCGATCTCGACTCGTGGTTGGGATTTATGGACATCTGGGGTCAAGATTCATGCCCAGCGTCGAAGAGTGCACCTCGACCGCAGATATCGATAACCACTTTGCATATCTGTCCTCGTGACAGGCACAGACAGATGCGTATCTGTCCGTCCTCATGAGAGGCAACTGTATATTGGGATTGGGATCTGCTGTCGCGATGCACGCCAAAAAACAAAAAGATATTTGATGATTATTAAAACAAACACTCTCAAAAAAAAATAAAATAAAAAAAATCGTGTTACTACTTCATGGTGCGTCTAGTCTGCTACCTAAGATTTATTCTCATTTTGCACATTCCGTGACCAGTGGGGCCAAGCCCTAAGTTCCTTCTTCTTCGCTTATCAACACAACAGCGGAACGGTTTTCACCAACCAACCACCTACGGAAGTTTCAGTCCCAGTTCCAGTCCCAGTTCCAGTTCCAGTCTGTGCTGGTTCCAGTTACTGTTCCAGTTCCAGTCTGTGTTGGTTCCAGTTACTGTTCCAGTTGCAGTACTGGTTCCAGTGTCGGTTCCAGTTCCAGTCCCAGTTCCAGTTCTAGTTCGAAGTTCCAGTTCCAGTTCCAGTTCCAGTTCCAATTCCAGTTCCAGTCTGTGCTGGTTCCAATTCCAATTCCAGTTCCAGTCTGTGCTGGTTCCAGTTACTGTTCCAGTTGCAGTGCTGATTCCAATGTCGGTTCCAGTTCCAGTTCTAGTTCCAGTTCCAGTTCCAGTTCCAGTTCCAGTTCAAATTCCAGTTCCAGTTCCAGTTCCAGTTCCAGTCTGTGCTCGTTCCAGTTCCAGTTCCAGTCTGTGCTGGTTCCAGTTCCAGTTCCAGTTCCAGTTCCAGTTCCAGTCTGTGCTGGTTCCAGTTCCACTTCCAGTCTGTGCTGGTTCCAGTTCCAGTTCCGGCTGCGGCGTTATCCATTTTCAGGTCCCAAAGGCAGCAGTTCGGAACTGGAACTGGAACTGGAACTGGAACTGGAACTGGAATTGGAGCTGGAACTGGAGCTGGAACTGGAGCTGTCCATGGGAGGTCATTTTTGGGAACACGGGAAATATATGCTGACCAGCACTCATGCATGATTGGTCCTTCTCTTTTTTTTTTTTTTTTTTTTTTTTCCTTTTCCCTGTCAGCCTTCTACTACTGTATGATCGGAACTTATCCAGGATCTGCTGTCACGATTCACGCCAAAAAGTCAGTCTCCTCTTCGTCTACTTTTTCTTTTCTTTTTTTTTTTCTGGGAAGATTCTTCCTTTTGAGCCACTGACGACAAGAGCACCCCTCCACCGGGCCTATCTCAGTTGTTACGCCCACGAACCAACTGTTGAAATCCAGGGCCTCCCTCCGCCACACCACCCCCGAGTTCTAGAAAATTCCAGTTCTCGAACTGGAACTGGAACTGGAACAGTGGCCAGATCCCGAACGGGCCACTTTCCAAAAGTCTGAAAATGACAGTCGGAACTGGACCTGGAACTAAAACTGGACCTGGAACTAAACTGGACCTGGAACTAAAACTGGATTTGGAACTGGAAGGAACAGTTGCCAGATCCGCAAGCGTTCAGTGTGAAGCAGAGCAGTCTGAGAGAAGTCTGTTTGTCCCATTGAGCTCCACTCCGCAATCTTGTCTTGGATGAAACTCGGAGGAGGTTACGAAAAGGAGCTCTGTCGAAAATGCAGCTTTGGTCCTTGGGGACATCCGTGAAAATTGGAACGAAGGAAAAAAATAAAAAATAAAAAAAATTGGAATGATGCAGAGAAAGAAGATTAGCGTGGCCCCTCCCTGCGCAACAATGATGGCACGCATAATTGAGAAATGGTCTCCCCCCCAAAAAAAAGAAGGAAAAAAAAAAATGGAGCTTTGCAGGCTCTGTTTTCGGGAGTGAGTTCTCTCCGGAGCACACACACTCTTTTTTTTTTTTTTTTTTTTTTTTATTGGGAGCCACACATTCTGTCAGGTGACGAGTTCAAAAATCTGACAGATCGTTTTTGGGGAGCTGGAGCCTCGTCCCACTAGCATCGATTAATGCTACGGTTCCATCGTTTTCAACCACGTGCGGCGAGAGGTGACATCCCGCGATCGTTGATCCTTTTGTGCATCGTCGGCGCTGAGCGAAAAGGACCAATTTCGTTACGGTATCTGTCCGCCGGCCAATAGAAGATTTTCGTTTTCATTTTTTTGGCCATTTAGGTATCCACTTTGCGTTGGCGCGAAGCTGCAATATTGGGGAGGTCCGAGGTGGGGGTCGTTTTTGCATCGATGTTCTTTTCTTTTTTTCTGTCGTAAAATAGAGAATATGCGCCTTGCCCAATAAATTACTGAGTCGAGGCCTTCTTACGCGCCGTCGCTGACGGTGTCAGTGTTGTAGCGTTATGTCTTGCAACCGTGGGTGTATGTGTCCGCAATTAGGTTGTCGTAAATTCGCGCGTGTTGGAATGTAGTCTCGTTTGTGGGAGTCATGCGTCCGCCTTTTTTTCCGGGTCGACCACGCAGTCATTGCGGTACTTTCCGAAAGAGGAAGGTCCCCATGTGGAAACGCATGGCATGTCCTAAAGAAAAGGGTACGGTCTATGGGTTACAAATCAAGAAATAGAATGATCGTAGCCGCCGGGTACGCGAACATACAGATTGTGGCGAGGCTTTTTGTAGGGAGGCAGGTGCTCGTGCTGTACCGACACGCATGAACGGTGTCGCCCTCAGCCTCTCGCCCTATCCAGCAAGACATGCAAAAGTGCCGTCTTGTGCACGTCCGGGTATGCTGTCTCGTGAAAGTCCGTTTCTCTCCGTCTCGCTCGTCTGCAGTTCGTCATCTTGCACCGTTAACTGAGTGAACGCGGAAGACGACGAACAGCCCTCCATTGACCACTACTCACAGCCTGCAGGCCTGTCTTCTATCGAAGACTGGGGTTACTCGGAGACCCAAAATGAGGCGGTCACCATCGGGAGGCGGACTGTCGGGAGACGAAACATCCATCAACTCATCCTCCGCTTCCGGCAGGTCACCCCACTCCTGAAGTAGGTTGTGGAGTATACAACAAGCGCGGAACTCCACCCTCTCCCTCGTGATGTCAGCAATGTGCGGGCGGTAAAAGAACTGGAAGCGCATCTTGAACACACCAAAGAACCGCTCGATGCAAGACCTCACTATCTTGTGCAGAGCGTCAAACTGCTGCATTGCTCGCGTGACCACCGGTTGACGCCCGTACGGAATGACAAGCCAGGGAAGGTTGGGATACCCACCATCGCCGAGCAAGTACCCGCCAGGGACACCTGGTATRGWYGRCCGTTCRCCACGGAACGGATCTTGTGGATCGTCAAAAAACAACGACCCCTTCAGGGCTCGCCTGTACAATGACGTGTTCTTGAGAACACGCGCATCGCCCACAGTCCCCGGAAAACCATAGCAGAAGTCCAAGATCTTCAGTTCCGAGTCCACCACCACTTGCGTCACAAGGGAGAACCGGTTGTGTCGACCAGAGCAATAGTCATCGCCGTCCCTTGAGCGGGGTTTGTCGACATACACATGGGTGCAGTCAATACAGCCCCAGCAATTCGGAAACCCCAACGCCTCGAAATGCTGCATGCGTCAGTGACGGTCTTCCAAACCCCCAAAGCTAACAGCGTTCGGATAAGCGGCGTGAATGGCCTCCCCTACTTCCGTAATGGCTCGCATCCCGCTGGTTCTGCCCATCCCGTAACCAGAGCAACTGTGCCAATGTGAGTCACYGTGGGCCCACCTATGCAGTGCATAAGCCAGTACCTTCGCCGGAGGCAACGGCAGCCTGAATTTCGTCACTGTCTTCTCCAAAGAAGGACCGATCTTTCGGAGCAGTTTATCGAAGGTGGAGCGACGCATGCGCAGCAGGCCTAGGTAATGGTCGTCCTGAGCGTTGTCTCTTGGAAGCAGGTCGTTCCACAACCCAGCTGATCGCCTCATCACCCACCACCTAGGCGAAGCCTGAGGCAAGAGATCACAGATTTCGACAATGGTTGGCCACAACCAAAGCGAACTACGCCCTCCACGGCCAGGGTCATCGCCGTCATCTCCTACACCAAACAGGGTGTCATTCAACTGTTGCGCCAGGAATAAGGGCCTTGCAGTCCGGAAACCAAGGAGGTCATCTAGGCTTTGGAATGCATCCTCGGCCATTCTGACCGCAACAGCCATGACCACGACAGCGAGCTGTTCTCGCTGCCTCCTTCTAAGCCGCCGCATCCCACTGCCACGTGGACAACGAACACCCGACGACCAACCCCCTCAAGCCTTGTCACCCCGCCCACACAACACCCCCCCCCACCGCCCCCGACGGCCAACCCCCTCAAACCTCGTCACCCCGCCCACACCAATGAAAGCTCGTCCAACGGGCCCAAGGCCGAGCACGAAAAACCGAACGACATCCCGCTACCGATAACCATGCCAGCGTTTCGACAATGGGTATGCCACGGCACGGCACGCCCCTACTTTGCTACCAACACACACCGCGGGAGAGAAAGGAAGTTTGCCAGAAATGGAAAGACGGCGTCATAATCTGACTCGCTTGTTTCCACTCGGCGGGGCCTTCCGAATTTCCCTTTATCGCGGACACCGCACACGGACACAACTTACGGCCACATTCGTATGGGAGAGGGTGACTTTCGGGTCGGGT